CATCCAGATCCCCGCGTCCACCGAGGGCGAGGGCAGCGGCTCCTGGAAGTGGAAGGCCCCGGAGAAGGGCAGCCTGCGCCAGACCTACGAGCTCAACGACCTCAACCGGGACTCGGAGAGCTGCGAGTCGCTGCGGGACAGCCTGGGCTCCGGGGAGCGCAAGCGCGGCAACATCGACGGCAGCGACCACCACCACCACGGCGTCACCACCATCCGCGTCACCCCCGTGGACGGCAGCGAGGGCGGCTCCGAGACGCTGTCCGTGTCGTCCTCGCGCGACTCCACGCTCCGCAGGAAGGGCAACATCATCCTGATCCCCGAGAGGAGCAGCAGCCCCGAGAACACGAGGAACATCTTCTACAAGGGCACCTCCCCCACGCGGGCCTACAAGGACTGAGGGCCGCGCCCCCAGACAGACCAGCGTGGATCCTACTCGTGCGCTGTCCCAGCAGATGGGGGGGCGGGGACAGTGAGACTTTGCACCAGACTAGCTCCTCCAGCATCCGTGACTCACGCACCCGTGGGAGCTGCTACCCTCAGCGCGTGGGGTGCCCCGGGGGAGGGAGAAGCACAACGCGAGGACCTCAGCGAGGCCGGGAGCTCAGCGGGGGGCCAGCTCAGAAGACAGCGGTTGCCTTCCCTGTATGCTATGTCACTCCCCAAATGTGCCAACATAAGGGATCTCCCCGCCTCTTTCTAATTAGCAGTGGGGGTCCAGACCTCGGTTCCCCACGCACAGGCCACCGGTTTTATATATCCATTCAGCAGAATCCGCACCCCACACTCCCCGTGGGGGTGCTGGTTAGTCTAGTCAGTGCATCTCCCACGCCACCCCCAGCCCCCCCAGCCCCCCAGTTCTACCTAGCTGTGCAGTAGTGTGTGCAGTCCCCGTCGGAGAAATGCTACTGTGTGAGAGGACGCTGGCTGCTTCGTGGTAGACGTGGGCACCCCGTAGCTCCCCCATAGTGGCTGTCACCATCCACACATGCAAAGGTTTGGTGCATTTTTTTTTTCTTCAAAGTTATGCTTTCTTCAACAACAACAACAACATTGTGTATTTTCAGCAAAAGGGAATCGCTAAGTGCTTTCTGCATTGTTTTTGTTTCTTTGCGGCTTACTTTTTATTTCATTGTAGGCACTGCTAATGAAGAATCCGGCTTCCAGGGAGTAAATTTGCTTCACTTAAAAATATATTGTTTCAGAGAGAGCTTTTTGAATGGTTGTGATCCTACTCGGTGTTTTATGGCTTATCCTTTATTTATTGATTTTCTATATATTTTTTGATGTTATAGATAAGCTCTGCTATTTTTAAAGTGAAAACAACCATTGACATGTCTTCAGTGAAATGTATCGCTGTGAACTTAGGAACAAGGAACCTGAACCAAAACTTGACCTGGTGGCTACCTTGCTGGCTGGCTTAGGCTGCTCTTTGAACAAGTCATCCAAGAATTCCACACAGTTCCAGGTTATTAGCTTTTTTGATGTCCTGACGACCAGTAAACTAGGGCCACATCGGTGGGTTTCACCTTCTTCCTCATTTTTGTTCATTCGACACCCACAGGAAGAATGTGAAACAGATGCAAATGGATAACAAAAGCATCTCCCACAATAAACGAAGGCTGCATTTCTTTAAAACATCTAAACAGGCACAGCCTTGGTGCTTCGTGTGCACACGACAGTCTTTGCTATCTGTCCTGAATGGGGCTTTCAGGAAAACAATCCTATATAATAAAAGGCTAATATGCAAATCAACCAAACGGCAGAATGACCGGTCGCTATGATGCGCACTGACCACCAGGGGGCAGACGCTCCAAGGCCTGGCTGCCCCCTGGTGGTCAGTGCGCTCCCAAAGGGAGAGACCCACTCAGCCAGAAGCCAGGCTCATGGCTGGTGAGTGCAGCGGCAGTGGCAGGAGCCTCTCCCGCCTCTGCAGCAGTGCTAAGAATGTCCAACTGACAGCTTAGGCCCGCTACCCACGTGGGAGTGGGCCTAAGCCGTCAGTCAGACATCCCCCTGAGGGCTCCCAGACTGTGAGAGGGCACAGGCTGGGCTGAGGGACCCCCCCCCCCCGGCCCTGAGTGCACGAATTTCATGCACCGGGCCTCTAGTATTACCAATAAGAACAAAAACAAAACATGCTGAGGTGTTTCCAACATAAACATTTCTGTTAGGTGTAAAGAAGTATTTGATCCTTGGAGCGTAGCGTGCGCTGTTTTCTACACGTTTCTTAAGAATCCTCACCTCCACGCATGACTGCCAGGGGGACCCAAGGTTACAACCAGGCCCGCCTGCCTGACCTGGGCGTCGGTTGCAGAGCGACCAGAAGGCCTTGTTTAGAAAGGAGGGTACCTGTCATTACCACCTTCTGCAGGGAAGGGGCGAGCTTCTGAGAGCAGCCCACCTCCGGGAGCTTAGGGATGTAGCCGAAACCAGCAGAACTGAAAACTCTGGCAATAAAATACAGATTCAGCTCCGTCCCTCTGGCAACTTCCTTCTCTGAGCGGGGAGTGGGAACCAAACACTGCCTTGCCCATTTCTCCCCGACACCCCCATCCCGAATCGCCTGGCTTTGGCCGGTCCCTAGGGAGCAAGGTTTTAGTACTCTGAAGAAAAAAAACAAAACACAACAAAAACAAATCCTGCAGCATTTCCGGCGCAGTGTGGTATTTCCTAATCTTTCCTACTTCTTGACAAACGATTTTAAAGAACTTCTCTAGTCACTGAAGCTTTTGTTCTTTACATAAATCTTGATACGTTCTTTTTCTACTCAAAGTGCCAAAGGCTACAGTTTTTAAAGACTTCAATTGTACCACGTTGTTAAGGAAATCCGACGACAGCCGCTAGAACTCAGACCTCTGCATGTGTATTTGATAACACATCTTTTGTAAAAAAGATAGTAATAATTACAAAAAAATTGTTTACATTCCACTGGTACCTTAACTTAGAGTAAGCGAGACCGACAGGCGGTACCTTCCTCGTGTTCGATTCCTCTCATTTGCTCAGAGAGCACCTCCTCCTCCCCGAGCCCTTAGGCTGTGCTTTCCTGGTAAAACCAAGTACTGAACAAAGAGAGTTAATTATCTTTTTAAAGTAAATAAAGTTATGGAAATATATATATAATATATATACACAAAGTATCGTGTTTAATAAAATGTTACACAGTGATTTCCAAACTGATCAAGTTTGTAAAGTGCTATAATGTATTTTGTTAAGTACAGATCAAAGCTATTGTGTGAGTATATTGTGCTAACATCCTAGAAATAAAGATTAGATTTCTTCATCAGAATTAGGTCGTTCTGTGTGTTTTGTTTTGTTTTTAACTTCAGAGCATGTAGGAATGGTAATGACCTGGCTTACAGGAACACGGATGAAGAAATAAGAAGGCATCAGAACTGACACAGTGGTTCTCAACCTCCCTAATGCCGCGACCCTTTAATACAGTTCCTCATGTTGTGGTGACCCCCAACCATAAAATTATTTTCGTTGCCACTTCATAACTGTAATTTTGCTAACTGTTATGAATCGTCATGTAAATATCTGATATGCAGGATGTATTTTCAGGGGTCGCGACCCACAGGTTGAGAACCGCTGTTAGAAGAAAGACTATTGCCCCAGGAAAGAAAGGCTTGTCAAACCATGACATAGCATTTCTTTATCATTCAGCATTTTTACCTTGAGCTTCTTAAAGGGAGCGCTCTTAGACGTCTTTAGACATAAATTACTCACATTGCCTGTGAGAGAACTCCATCTAGACTCTGATGTTAGCTTTCAAAATAGACCCAGCGACAAGCAGACTAGTGAGCGTGAAGAAAAGGTGACGACAATGGTATGTACATAAAGCCTCCGCCTCTTCACCGCCTCCGGACACTTCGCACCCAAAGGAAGAATGGGGGACACCCTCTCTACCAGGGCTCTTTCCCCTGCTTGATGGTTTTCTCTCCAGCCTCTGCTGTCCTCTGAGAAAAGGTATGTCCATCTTTGAATATTAGAAAAATCTAACTCCATCCCCAGCTCAATCTTTCCCATTCCATCTCCAAGTTAGATAATGAAAGGTATTTTTACAGATATTTCTGAAGGCATGGAAAGAGGGATTTTCAAAAATAAAGTAAAAATGAGTCAAGGACTTAAATGTAAAGCTACAATTTTCAGTGAAAGCCAGAGGAGAAAGTCTTTGGAGCTAGGTCAACGACCCGTGACTAGTCCTTGGTTGAATATGTATCTTCAAATATTTTTTCCTGCTTGTATTTATCCTTTCATCTTGGTAACAAGATCTTTCAGAGCAAATGTTTTAAATTCTGATGGGGACCAACTTAGCTTTTCCCATCTGTGCCATGTTTTTAAAGTTAAATTTTAAAAATATTTTTAAAACCTCAATACTCAACAGTAAAAACAACAACACATAAACAGTAAAAACTAAAATAGTAAATAAAAAATATGAATAGATATTTCATCAAAGAAGATAAACAGAAAAAAACACACCTATAAATAGATGGTCAGTGTCACTGGCTGTTTGGGAAGTACAAATTAAAACCACAATGAGATATTGCTACACCTCTGTAAGAATGACTAAACTAAAAAAAAAAAAATAGTGATGATACCAACTGCTAGCAAAAACCTGGAGAAACTGCATCCCTTACATATTGCCGCTGAGCATGTGAAATGGTCCACCTGCTCTGGAAAGCGATGCGTCAATTCCTCATTTAAAAATAAGAATTCCTGGGTCGTACCCTTTGACCCCGAATTGCACTCTTGGGCACTTATGCCCATAGAAACGCAAACTTATGTCCATACACAAAAATGGCACCGATATGTTCATCTCGGTTCTACTAATAATAGGCAAACACTCACTTGTAAGTTCTATAGAAGCAGCTCTCAGCACAGCGGGTGCTCAAGAATTATAAGAAGAACTGGGTGAGAGCAGAACGTCCTATCCGCTGGGAGTGGAAAAAACGATGAAAACAAGTAAATAACCGAACTTAGTGCATCGAGAAAAGTGTGAAGGGTTTGCAAGAGAAAGACAGGGCTGCCTGTCTGATTGCACCCCACACTACACGGGGCTCAGAAACCCCCCAGGCTCCGAGGGGAAATTCGTTACTTGTGTTTTTCTCCTTTGAAGCATCTGTTTCCCGGGTGGGCGGGTGCACGCCGGTCCTTTGAACAGGCCGTCTGTTCACAATGGTTGTTTGTTCCAGGGCTCCCACCGCCAGTCCTGTCTGGGGCAGGCGCCAACACGAAGGACTGACTTAGTCTATCTGTTTTTTAAAGGCCTCTGGAGTCAGCATTCACCATTATTTTCAAGTTCAAAGTCAGATATCAGAGTGCAGGGACTTTAGAGATTTCTTTCTATCTAGCATATCCACTGATCTCTTGTTCCCACACAATACATCCTAGAATGCCACAATGACTCTCAGAACTGGGAAGATCCGGCTGACGCCCCTGTGGGTCACCCCCACGGATGGATGCTGAGACGTGGGGGCTGTGTCTAAAACGGCTCCTTTCCCCCGGGCTTAATGGGAGGAAAACCCAGGAAAGGCCAGTTCCTTTGTTCTCCACACCATCACACACGTGAGTGAACAACATGAGAGAACATACATGTAGCTAAGTGACCACAGGAAAGTATTGATATAGGAGGAAAGCACTTTTTAAATATATGTTTATTGATTTCAGAGAGGAAGGGAGAGAGAGATAGAAACATCAATGATGAGAGAGAATTGTGGACCAGCTGCCTCCGGCACACCCCACACTGGGTATGGAGCCCGAAATCCGGGCCTGTGCCCTGACTAGGAATCGAACCGTGACCTCCTGGTTCATAGGTCGATGCTCAACCACTGAGCCACACCTGCCAGGGCTATTTGTTAATCCGCAGACACGGGGAGCAAGGCTGGGCCTACGGCTCACACTGCCCAGAACTGAACTTCCAAGGAGTAGCCACCACCTCCCAGGTCTGCTCCCGGCTCCGTCCCCCCTCTTGGAGCGCTGTCACTATGGGGACAAGTCAGAGGAAGTCTTCAGTGCCCGCGGTCCAGATTGTTAGACCACGTGGCGTGGGGGCAGTGGGTGTGCGCGGCCTCCGAGAAGAAGCACACGCCTGTACGTGTGTGTGACTGTCTCAGGTTTCCTCCTGGCGTGGCTCCTGGAACCTGTTTCTAAAGAGCAAGAGTAGCGGGAGAGAGGTCCGTTTCCATGGGAACAAAGGTAACAACGGAAAAACCTGTGGGAGCTGGAGTGTTGTCGGACCCTGTGTCCCAAACGACCTTCCGTGGCGACGAAAAGCGTCCGTTTTAGGAAAGTCTGTCGCTCGCATGCAAACTCCGCTAGAAGAAGAGAAAGATGATGAGAGCGAAGAGACAGATCAGCCCGGACACATGGCAAAGCGGCCGCGTTGTCCCTGGGCTTGCCAGTCGCCCTATGAGAAGCTTTTAATTCAGCGAAAGAGTATTTATAGAAACAGCCTTATCTTGGGTCCCTGGTAAGTTATGAACGTGCTCTGTTGTTGAGATGAAAATCCAGGTGCGCGCGCTGGTTTACCCGCGGTCCACTCACAGCTGCCTGGGTCTGGGCTGCGCACGGGTACTGATTCACCCCGGAAAGGACCTCCTCTCTGCCGTTCCTCTCTCTCAGCCCCACGGCGATGCCACTGCAC